TTATTGTTATTTTTAATATTTTATCAGATTGGTATTTGGAGATTGGAAAATGGATGGAGACTCTCCATTATTCAAAATACAACAAAATAAATTTTTATCCAGGAGCACCAGCCAACTGGGTTCGAAACCGCTTTGAAATAGGAAATATACTTTGTATATATCCTAGCAAAGATCTCAAAGAGATAGCTCAACTTCCAGCCAACATTAGAAAAGCTGTTAAAAGATATACTGAAGTTGTCAAGACAACAAATATATATATATAAGATTCCATTCAGCAACCATGGAGTGGGATCCTATTCTTGAATATGTGCACCCATCTTTCCATGTGATCAAAATGGAAATCACAAATCAACATTTTTTACCAACCAATCAGAAGGTTGTTAAAAATAGATATCAAGATATTCTAAATATGATGCCCTACAGACGAGCAAAAGGGTATAAAGAGATATTTGAACATGTAACTCAGATAATTACTGAGAAAGAAAAAATATAGGTTTATCCATCTGAAGATCATATCATCTATTCCAATCCAAGGATGGATACCAAAGAAGAAGATATTTGTTATCTCGATCATTTATTATCTGCAATTATATCCAACCAAGTGCACGGATCAGAGGATATGGCTAAAGAATTATGCAAATTACTTTGGAATTACAGTAATCACCATTGTGAATACTGTGTAGTTGAAGATATGAGTCAAGCATCCCTTAATGATGAAGAATTCCCTACAGAATTCTTTGATTCAAAAATGGAAAAGTGATGGTGACTAAAGTAACCCTTTTTCACTACTTTAATAAAGAAATTTATTAAAGAAAAACTGTGGCTACTAGAAAACAGAAGATAATACAAGAAAAGTCTCTATAATTGTGACTACTCCCCACCAATGGTTACAAGTGGTAGATAAACTCAAAAGATTAGGCATCTAATTTCAAAAGAAGAGGTCCACCCAACAAGAAGACAATGAAGAATTCGGTGGAGATAAGATGGCCTAGCTACCTAACAAAGAAAGGTGGAAGACACTTGTCTAAGATAAGATTCCAAAATCTCCTATAAAATGGGGCATGAAGGAAGGAGGAAGACATCTCGAAATAGCTTATCTCTTAAACATATTTAAGAGAAATCTTTTGTAATCTGTATACACCACTTGTATTCAGAAAAAAATATTAGATAGCTTGAAGATAGGAAAGCGTGTAATAAGGTAATCACTTATGGAGTTCTAAACTTCATAAGGTGAGTACCAAAGGTATGTAAATATAGTTTGTAAGCATGTACAATTTCAATTTATGAATATCAAAGTAAAGTCTATTATGTTCAACAAAGCTTATATAAAAGGATTTTGTTAAATTTCTCATGATTCCTCGGCAGTACAGATAGAGATTTTAAAAGATTTTCAAAACCTTGATTTTGAATGGATGTTAGCCATGCCAAAGTACCCGTCTTTGATGAATGGTTTAGGGGAAAAAGGCAGTCTTCTAACAAAAAATTGTAGCACCTTGTGTGTGAGTTATCTTTTAAAATTTCGTTCCAAGTAGGAATTTGATTCTGAAAAGAGTTTGGATAGAGGTGAAAACAGAGACTCTGGATATTGTGAGATAGCGTTTGTCGACACGGCTAGTTCTCTAGAATGAGAAATGCAACTTTAATTGAAAAGCCTTTTGCGGAAGCAGTTGTGGATCCAAATGATTTCAAAAACATTTTAAATCTTTACTTGATTCAGAAGATTGATTAAGTACATGCAAAGTATCTATAAGAGCATACTGGAGGGAAAGCCTGTTTATTTCCACTTGATTACTGTAAGTTGTTTATTTTTACATGCTTATGCTTTAACTATTTTGATGAACAATTCACAAGCATCCACATCTACTAATGATAATAATCTTATTTTGTTTTTAGATGAAAAAGATGTTTCGTTCTTACTTAAATTAGATAAAAAATCTGATGATATATTTCCTGTTGATAAAGAAAAAATTGAAGAAATATATAGAGATATAGATTATAATTATAGAAATAATATAAGATTTGATTCTGTAGGAACTAGTAGAGAAATAAGAAATGTAGAAGATATCATAACCAAACATAGAAATATACAAGAAGAAATTTCAGAAGGATTATTTAAAGGATATATAACTAAGAAAGGTCAACCTATAATCTTTGAAAAACTATTAAAATATAAAGAATATTTAAAGGTGCTCAAAAGATTAAAAAAAATAGATATAGATCCTGATTGATAAATCCTTAAAGATATAAGATAGATTTTGTAAATAATTTCATTAAGGGTAAAATAGTACTTTCAATAGGAAATGCTATTTATTGTGGAAAATAGGCTCAATAATTCAGCCAATATAAAAACTACCCCCCCGTTTGCCCCATTTTCGGAAAATGAAAATCGGTGGAATAGTATTTTTTTGAAAAATGAGTAATTAAAAAAGAAGGATTTTTTTTATTTACGTGTAATATTATTTTATGGAGAATTGTGTAGTTAAAAATATGAGAGAGAAAAATAGAATGTAATGGAATTGAATATAATTGGGGAGTGGGGGGGGAGTGGGGGCATTATCAATTTGTACATCAATTTGATTTCAAAAAAAAGAAGAATTGGGTCGTTTTTTTTTTTCTTTTGGGAAAATTGCACTGGGGTTCCTTACACAGTGTGTCCAACTTATCATTTGTTACATGTATGTCCCTTATCTTTTAACATAATGGCACTTGTGACCCAACTAACATAAAATGTTTACTCAAATGTTAGATAATCATGTGACACTCACGTCATATGAAGGACAGGTTAAAGAAAGGGAATAAATTTCATGAACACAATGGAATTTTACCTAGTTGGGATTTTTAAATGGAAGTCAAAGTTTCAAATTGTTTTGGAATAAAGGGAATCGTTTTGTCTAAGTTTCCCATTTCGATCCGACATTATGTGAGTATCATGTAGCCATCTGATGTTCAAATAAATATTTTCGACGCCAGTTGATGACATGAGTGCAAGAAATGATAGATTGGGGATTTAAGTGCTATACTTATGAAAGGTTGGAGACCATTGGTGGAATTTACCCTTTTGTTCAATTCATTCGTTTAATACTCTAAAAATCCTCACTCTTTAATGTCTCAAATCTCTCAATTTCACTCTCCAGCATTTATAGCATATTAGATTTAATAAAGTTTTATTTAAATGCTATTATTATGTATTACTTAAATTTTTTAAGTTTTTCACTCTCACAATACAATTTTATCGTTAGCCATTCTTAACCCTTGTTAGGCCTTAATTAAAATTAGTTTTTGGAGAAAAATGTAGTTTGAAATAATGATTTTTTAAAGAATATGTGGTTATAATAAAAAGGAAAAAAATTGTGTTTAAGTGAAATATTAGTTTTTTGAAGAATGTGATGAAAACAAAATAGAAAAATACATTTCGAATAAAATGGAACCCAAATGGGGCTTATTATTTTCTATACAACGAATCCAAGATTATCTACAATTAGTGCCTTTTCTTCTTAGAAGTTTAATTTATTTGATTTTCTAGTCGCAGAAATGAAACTAATTTTGGTGTATCGTTTTCCGTTAGAGCTTCGAATCCTGAGGGATAATGCCTTGTGACTTAGATATGGAAACATCGTGTAAAATAGACTTAGATAACCATTGCTCTATGCAGCTTGGCTATGCACTAGTACAATGTTTTCAGTTATAAAGCAGGCTATGCAATCAGAACTTCAATAGGCCGGTAATCCGCTCCAAAATTCGTTACATCCCAAATTTTTTATTTTCCTCAGTGTCTATTATTGGAAAATTGTCATGTTATACTCGAAATTAGTCCACCAACACCAAAATGTATTTTTTCCCCCAGAAGTTTATGCTCTCTTTCTTTCATTTTCGCATTGTAAATTCCTGAAGTTGACCAAAAGGGCTTGACGAAAAATCATATAATTGGAAGTGCGACTTAAGTTGTGGTTAGAGATTCGATCTAGTCTGTACATGTGACGGTCTCTCCGCCATTGGGTGGAGGGCAAAAATTTGAGTGTTGTTTAAAACAGACTTAACACTCATTTTCTTCACACACTCTCTATGCAACTTTATTTTCTCTCGTTCTAAAAAGTTCTACTTCTTCATTTTCTTTCTACTGAAATTTTTAATGGATTTTTAATGGATTTCGTTTGTACATTATAGAGTGAGTTTATGTTTATTTTGGTGGGTAGTGTTTTATAACACTTGAATCCCTCTAGTTGTATAGGTAGGAGAATCCGTACCGAACACCCGCATGGGAGGGGTAAAAAATTGGAAAAAATATCCACCCCACTCACCCTCTGTGTAAGTATTCTGTACATGTGCCCCCCAGGGCACTTCTCCACTGGTAAAGGACGGACGCTGTCAAACCTGGCAGAGCAGAGGTCGTGAGTTCGAAACATGGGGCTCTTGGAAGGCAAGGATTTATTCTTGGAAGGCAAGGGAACATTTGGAAGGCAAGGATTTATTCTTGGAAGGCAAGTGGGAACTTGGAAGGCAAGGATTATTCTTGGAAGGCAAGGTGCAACTTGGATTGGCTTGCTTGGCACTTTGTCAGATCAGGTGGGGAGCACTCGGACCCTGGCCAGTTGGAGGCACATCCTGCGATTAACCGGACTGTGTGAAGAGGGGCCGGATCACAGACCCAAGGATTAGTCTAGAATAGGACACCTTGTAAAAAAAAAAAAAGTATTCTGTACATGTTCTGTGAAGTATAAATCTGTGTGTAATGACACTTTCTGTGAGTCAAGAGAGAGGAAAAGTATATGTGATTTTGCATATTTATACTGAGTTGGTTATACTGAGGTAGATGCTCAACAGGTTAATAAACTTTAAAGCAAGTGACCATCCAAACCCAGTGTTCAATCTCTTATTGTTCGCAAAGTTTTTCAAGTTTTTGGGGCCAAAACGTATGATTGGGACTGAAACATCCCCATTCGAAATGAAATATATCATTGCTATTCACATATGAAAAAGTATATTGTTCACCAAACATATCCTTAAAAGAGAAGGGCAGATCTATCAAACAGTGTCGTTTATATCCATGAAATGTGTAACCTTTCAATTTGGCTAATTTAGTAATGATACATTGTTAACAATTATTTTGCTATACTACTTTGCAGATGGACTATAATAGTATAATGTACATTATTCAAAACAAAATTGGAAAAATAGAATTCAGTCATCAAGAAAACATACTAATTCCGGTTGGAGCCATTAGGATGATCCATAATTCTTCGCAATATTAATGCTCTTGCCATTCTTGTTTCTCGACTACACCTATCGGCGTGATCATTCAAGTCCTGTATAGTTTTCATAAATCCATTTACATTCTTCTTGATCTCCTCAACCGCGATCACCACTGCCTCATCTTCCCTCATTGCAAAATCAGCATTTGCCAGCAGTGCCTCTATCTCAATCTGAAACCTGTCGACTAGGACACGAATACCATCCAAATCTTTAATCATAATGTAATTCCCAATCTGCATTGTGAGGAGTATTTCCCTTTGCCTCATCAACTCGTTCTCGTGCTTCTTCCAAATCGAGTTAAGCCATTTCCCCATCGACCCCAAAGGCACCGAGGCAGCTGCAGCCAATGCAGTTAACACCGGAGGTGCACTGACTGCAGCTGCCACCACCGAGCATATCAAAACCGAGGCGAAGGCCACCACGAATATCACATTCGACACCTTCCTCCATGCCTTCAATTTACCCAACTTCTTGTCCAGCTTTCGCTTCTTTGCTTGCAGTTTCTCCAACATCAGGATTTGCTGTTTGTACACCGAATTAAACAAGTTAAAAAACTCCTCTGTAAAGGGCTCATCCGTCCCTCTAAAATTCCTCAATTCCTCTAAAGTTTTTGAATAATTTTTGACATATCCATTTTCCGAATCCCCAAAATGTTCTTCCTCGAATTTTCTGAGGGCGACATTGACTATGGATTGAATATGAGAAGCGCGTTTGAGGCAGGACTCAAGGGCAGTGCAAAAATCTAGGGTTTGGAGACTATTTTCGAAATAATCATCAACAAGATCGGATAATTCTTTACTTTTCCAAATATCCCTTTTATTTTGGAGTATCATTTCGACTACTCCTTGGTTCATTTCAAGGAGACATTCAGTTACATCCCGGAGGGAGTCAAGGGAGACGCTTTGAACATCGAGGCTCACAGCAATGGAGTTGATGGCTCGGCTCGTCCGAGCTTGGAGGTTCGCATCGAAGTTCCTGAGATCCGGATCGGCTCTGCAGGCGGCTTCATAGGAGCTCAGATTAGCGTCATCTGGGTTAACTGAGGTGGAAATGGTTCGACCTGGCGGCGACGCCGCCGTAGAGTGATGGCTGCTTTTACTAATTTCACAGCCCATCAGTCGATTTCAGAAATTCTAGGCTTAATTAATTTCCATCTGTGAATCTGCTCTGAATTTATGATTCTGTGTGTGATATTTCGAAGAAGTTGCTGCTTTTAGACTAGAAATGAACAAGAGGTTGGCGATTATTTGACTTCAATCTGCAAAGCCAAATGAAATAATACAAAAAGAGAAAATGTAAAGTTCGTAGGTCACTAAACTAAAAGGTTTATTCCATGTTGGTCACTCAACTTTAATTTATTGACGATATTTAGCTTTTATTTGGTCCCAATTTTTTAAATTTCATTTTTGCTCAAATTTATTTTTAATCTTACATTTGTGGGATTCTTAATTTTTATAAAAATTTTAACAACATATGTTATCAAATTTTATGACAATCTACTGAAAATTTAATTTTAACCAAACCGACAAGGATTGAATTATAATTATCAATCATTTGAATAAGCAATTATCTTCTTAGAATTAAAACCTTGCATTTTTTATTTCTCTTGTAGAGACTTCGGAGGCTTTGCATATCTTCAGAAGATAAGTGAGTAGAAAAACGAAGTAACATTTCAATTTTCACCTTTATGAATTTTTTTTTCTTTCCAATTTAATTATGTTTGTAAAAAAATGCGTCAAACTAATTCTTTTATTTTATTAAATCGGTCATTTATATTTATTAGTTAACTAATGACATTCATTGTTTATTTATGAAATATTCACAAAACTCTTGACTCGATGGACATAAATCAAAGTTATGTGACTCACATGAAATCAATTTTTAGGTTGAATGACCTCTAGAGAAATTTCTTCCAGTCCAAAACATTTACATTATAAATGAATAATTTAATTGCCAAGATGCAAAAAATTAATGACCAAGTCTCTTTAGAATTTAGATTGTTCAATTATAAATCACTTATCTGTCGACATGAGGAAACTGACGCAATCTTTCTCTAATTGGTTGTGAATTTTCAAAGATATTTACGCGTATTGTGTTTTTCCTATATAATTACAATTTTTTTTTTCTAAAGTGGGAGCATATCTTTCTAGTGATCAACTAATACGCATACTACCAAAACGCTAAGGTGGTTGTAGATCAGTTGAATGAGACATCCATTGGTGAAATTCAGTCAGAACCGTGCACAGATTTCCTCGAGCCAAATGAAAATTGGCCCTCAAATGAGAAAGGCAGGAGGGAGAATTGAATTTCTTTTATGAATTTACATGTAAAATATTTTATTAAGTGAATTTGAAAAAAATTCAAAAAAAATGAATTTTAGAGAATCTCTAGGGCTAAGTATGACATAAATTAATAGAATAGATATTTTTTTATCAGAAGTACACTGTGCACTGGATAATTTCCAAGCGAAAAGTCGACTACTTGCAAAGTAGATGGATTGGTGATCAAATGGCTTTACATTGTTGTATTGAAAAAGTAACAAGTTGTCATTGTAGTATAGTGGTGAGTGTTCTCGCCTGTCACAGGGTGAGCTAGGTTCGATCATTGGCAACGACTAAATTTTGATTTTTGGATCCTCCATTTTTCTCCCAATCAAAGAAGGGCAACTTACAAAAATACTCTTAAAATTAGAGTTCTTTTGAAAAATCATATTAAGGCCATGTTTGGGCTACACTTTTCAAAAAAAAAAATACATTTTTAAACAGTGATTTGACATCATTTTAATGACATATTTTTCAATAAAATAATATTACACGTAAATCTAAAACATTTCTTTATTTTTTAATCACACATTTCTCATCAATACACTATTCAAAAATGTATTTTAAGAAAAATAATGTGGCTCAAATAAGTGCTAAAAAATTTTTGAAAGTAAAAAATATAATGTGATATTAAAAAGTGACATAATGTCATTTTTTTATAAAAATTGTTACTTTTTAATTTTTTTTTTTTTTTAAAAGTGACACAATGTCACTTTTAAAAGTTAAGTATCACATTTTATTAAAACATGACATATATTATCACTTTTATTTAACAAATGATGTTTGCCAATAAAAAAAAATAGAATTCAAGAAGGTGACCGGAAAAAAGTGAGAAATACTAAAAAAAAAGGGTAATTAATATAAAAAGTTCATATCTTTCAATGTTATTAGGCAAAACGTCACTACCTTTAAATTTTTGACATTTTCACCTTTACCTTCAACCTTTCATTGTGCAAAAAGTCTTTTCTATCCATTTTTAACGATTTTACCTTTCTATTTAAATAAGACAAAAAGAAAAGAAAAGAAAAACAATAAAACAATGAACTTTATAACGTTTTATTGAGAACAATGATGAAAATGATGTTTTGCACAAGAAAAGGTAGAGATAGGGAAGAAATACGCCAAAAAATGAAAGGCATAAACGTTTTTCACAAAAATCATGAAAGGTGGGACGTTTTGTGTTAATTACCCTATGCTCTTGTTTAAGCCCTATTTTTCAACCAAAATACATTTTTTAACAGTGATTTGACATCATTTCAAGCACACATTCTTCAATAAAAT